GTCATGTGTATGAGTGTTTACTTTAAGTTATAATCCGTTGTGCCTGCATGCTAGTTCAACTTGTGCCAGTTATTATTTGCGGCAAAACTCTGACGGTAACACCACATTAAAAACTTAACATCAATAACATTAACACAAAAACAACAACACTCACAACGTTAAAACACACCAACAAAAACAACAACAAAACCACTGAAACAACGTCAATAACATCAATAAAACACCAACAACATTGCTATCAACACAACAATGACAGACAATAAACAACATTGAACATACCGATACGAAATGATAAGTTCTTAGAAGCATAACAACACAAACATGAAACATTTGAGACATTATCTTACAGCAACCACAACATCAACTAATACGACAATAACGATCTATAATACCCTCTCCCGACATCAATGATATGCAATTTGCAAACAAAACAAGTTATACAGAAAATCATTACAACTGATAATGACACGAACAACAATGATAACTGGTTTTGTTGCAGTACGATGAAAGTAACATTCATGCAGATAACAACAATAACAAAAACACTGTTACCACCAACTACAAAAAACAACAACATTGACATCAACAACAACATCAGCAACAACATCAACAACAACATCAACAACAACATCAACATCAACAACAACATCAACAACAACATCAACAACGACAACAACAATAGAAACGTAATGACCACGAACAACAATGACATATAATGAGAGGAGAATGAATGAATAAATGAATGAATAAACAAACGAATGAACGAATGAATGAACGAACGAATGATTGAATGAATGAATAAATGGATGAACAACAGAACATCATTAATATTAACAATGGAATTCGTACTACGACGACAATAATAAAAATAACAAACAATAAAACGAAAAATTGTTTATATATTTTTTGAAAAAAATAGACGTAGTTTAAAAATTTACCAAGAAAAAAATAAACAACAACAACAACAACAACAACATCATCATCTTCAGTAACGACAACTCAACTAATACTAAAATATTTTTATCATTATTATTATTTGTATTGAATTCTTATTTGTTTATATTTAGTAAGTTTTTTTGTTTTTGTTGCGAGCGATTGTCGTTGTTTGTTTTGTTGCTGATTATGTTTTTATCAGTGTTATTTTTGTTTTTTTTTGAGTTATTTAGGGCTTTTAACCGTAATTAATGCTGTTTTGTTTGGTTGGTTTATTGATGATGTAATGTGTTTAATGCTAGCACCATTCAATCATTCATCAAACAAAACAGCAGACGAGCACATGTTTATTTCGAGACATTTTTAAAAGAATTTAATTAATTAGAATAAATTAAACAATAAAAATTTTAAAACATTACTTACCTTATTCATTATTTGTTCATATGTTTGGTTATGCGTGTATAAGTATAAACGTTTCTATGTGTAAGGGGGTGTTTAGTTTCGATGTTTGTTAATGTTAATGTTTAATATCAGTGGTTATTAATCAATAGTTGATGTGTATGTGATGTTGCTCTTTTTGTTTGTTCGTTTTGATTGTTCGTTCGTTCGTTTGTTTAATGTTTAGTTCGTTCATTCGTTTGTTCATTTGTTTGTTTGTTTGTTATATAATAAATGGCTTTCAAATGAAACATCGGCATGTTTAAGCGATACAAAAGGCGAATTTTTAAGCTCATTAATTCAGGGCATTGTGGCATAATTTGTGCATTTTCGTTCATTGTTCCTTGCTGCTTTTTGTCAGTTTTTCAACATTGCATTTTGTGTTTTCTGCTCTGTATCGTGTTGTTGTTGGTGGTGGTGTTTGTGTTGTTTTGCAGATGAATTTGTTGCTATTATTGCTGTTGCTGTTGTTGTCGTCGTTGTCGTTGTTGTTGTTGATGATGATGTCGTTGTTGTTGTTGTTTGTTATTGTTGTTGTTGGTAGACAAAAAAGATTTTGTGTGTGTACTGAGTTTGTATATACATCGTATACAAAAAACAACAATGTGTGTAAAACAGCGAAATGATTATAGGAACATGCATGTGTGTGTATGTGTGTTTGAATGTGTGTGTGTTTGAATGTGCGTTTACTTGAATGTTTGTATGTGTGTGTATGTGTGCGCGTGTTTGTTTTTCACATAAATACGAAAGAAAAATAAGCATTGCATAAATTCAAACCGTTATTTGTAAACCTGTGTTTGTATTTATGGTATTTATGGGTTTGTTAGTATGTGTGTATGCGTTTATATATGTATGTTTGTTTGTATAGGTGTATGTGTGTGTATGTTGGTTTGTATGTGTATGAAGATAAGTGTGTGTGCGTATATAAAAAATATGTATCGATGATAACATTCATTTTATATAAACATATGTATGCGCTTCGTCGTCGCATTGAAAGGAACCGGAAAATGTTTATTGTAACCAAAGAAATGAATAAGAAATGCTTTGTTCCATTGATTTGTATAGCGCACGTTTCTCAATAAAGAAATGTATGAATAAATGAATGAATGGATGAATGAATGACAAAATTGAATAGAAGGGAATAAAAATAGGAAAACAGAATGAACGAATGAATGAATGGCGAATGAATGGGAAAAAGAGTTAACAAATGAATAGAACAGAGAGATGAATGAATGCATGCATGCATGTATTTTTGAAAGTAGATAAGAATAAATGAGTGAATGAATGAGTAAAAGAATAATATTATAAATAAAAGATACAAAAAACGTTGAAATATACAAAACAATGTGTTTTCCAATCCAAACGAACAAACGATGTTTAGCTAAATAATTTATAGTAAGTAAATATATGTCGTATATTTGTTTGTTTGCTTGTATGTTTGTTTTTATATATATCTGTATGTATGTGTTGGTATGTATGTGTTTATGTTTGTGTGGTATGATTGTACAGTATATGTTTATATGAACATTATGCGTGGTGTGTGTTTTTATGTTTGTGGGGTGTGGTTTTGTATGTGTGGTGTGTGTGTGTGTATGTGCGTACACACAAGTAAAAAAGTTGCAAACGTTCACATCCACTAAGCAAACAAGAGGTATTGATGAAATAAATGTACAGATACGTACACAAATGTACACACACACAATCTCTAGTAGGTACGCTATAATACAACTGGTATTGACCATAGCTTAGTGGCAAAAATTTAATACCTTCATTTAAAATTTGAAATAAATATGGAAATGAATAAATTATTTTGATTAGTTTGAATGAGTGCTTTAAAAAATATTTTAACATATTCATGATTTAATAATATTTTGTGTGTATTTTGCTGAACAAATGGAAGAATGGATAAAGAGTTTGCTTGGAAGACTCCACTCAGTGCTAACATCCGCTTGTCGTGTCAAATGGATCGTTGTCTGAATATCATCTTTTTATTTCATTCATTCATTCGTTTGTTTGCTTGTTCATTCATTCAATCATTCGTTCGTTTATTCGTTCGTTCTTTCATTTTTCATTGGGATATTAAATTGTTTGTTTGTTTGTCCAATCGTTCAAATAGTCAGCATATCGTTCTGCCGTTCATACACATGTTGATTCGTCCACTTTTATGTTTTTGTTGGTTTATTCAATCATTCACTCATCCATTTTGTATTTTTTTATTTATTTATTTCATTATTCGTTCAAACATCTATTCATTCAATCATTCATTCATACATTCATTCATCTATTCAATTAAATACTTTTGTTTGTTTGCGCTCATTAATTTAGCTTTTAATTAATTAGAAAATATAATCATTCATTATTTATTCGTTTATTTTTATGTTCTTTTTTCATTCATTCACTCATTAATTTATAATTTATTATATATTTTAATTATTCATATTTTGTATTTCATTATATATATATATATATATATATATATATATATATATATATATATATATATATATATATAT